ATTTTCTACATTTATTTGCCTGTATAGTGAAACACGAAACTTTGTCTATATGAACTTTCTCAGAATTGTTTTGTCCGATGTAGTGGAGAAAAAAAAAAAAACGAAACGAAATAAATACGATAGAAACCGTAATGAATATCCTTGCGACATACGCACACAATGTATTTTATTACCGTGGAACGTGTTTCTCTCTTATCTACATCGAATGTTGCCATATCTGTATGTGTGCGTGTGCGTGTACCTCTGTGTGTGTGTGTGTGTGTGTCTCTATGTTCGCAAATGTGTAAATTGAAATGAATTTTTTTTTTCCTTTCTCACATTTCACTGCTGTCCATTGTTCCTAGCCGGTGTTGATAATTGTAATGTAAATGAACCTTATTAGGGAATTTCAATGTATCCTTGGAACATAACTTCTTATTTTTCCTTTTTTTTTTTTGTGGTATTCTTATCTCCTCATTTTGTTTGCTTCATTTTAATTTCATGTCATTTTGAATCATTCGTTATCTTTATTACTTAAAAGAATGTTACAATTTTTATACCCATTACCCGAACGATGACTGGCGTATTCATTTTGTTGAAACGTTTGCAACGGCCAAAAGGCAGTTTCGAAGATACCACAAACTATAATACATGTCCGCATCCGCATCAAATTCTAAATCGATTTAAGCATATCTAACTGTCGGTCTGTCCGTCTATGTAAGGTCCGTTGCAAACATTCTCCTGTCCACCAAAGAGAAAGCTATCATCTTCAAATTTGGCAGGAATACTGAAAGTCCTCGCATGCAGATTGATACTGAAAATGGGTTAAATCTATCGAAGAACACGCCTACTGTGCTACGTAAACTGACGACGCCTCTGTTTTTAAAAAGTGAATGAAAACTTGTTTTTTTGCCCACTGCTCACAAACTACAGCAAATAAATTTGCGTATCATTTGAATGTATATTCTATGAGCGGTGCTGTAGTACTTTGAGAGAAATGGAAAAAATTGACCACGCCTATTCAATTTTATAGTGCGTCATAATATCATTTTGGTCTTCACTTCTACCTTTATAACGCGCAAAGGCAAACTTCAAAATCCCCATAAAGAATATAAATTCTCGGTCAATTTTAAATTCGGATTGCATCCTAAGCATATTCGTCCATTCATCATTTCATTTGCTCATCTACGCGACAGTGCAGTATCTGTGGTAAACATTCTCCCGTTCGCAAAAGTGAAGATATCGCCTACAAACTTGTAAAAGAATTTAGTGTTTTTTGCTTGTTACTCGGTATAAAGTATAGCACTTACACCATATAAATTTCTATTTTTATTGTAAAAATCAACCACGCCCATCCAATATTATAAAATATAAATATTGAGTTCTTTTCCTCATTTTTAGACCCCTAGTGATAGGTATAAACGATTCGGTCACAACCGTATGTAATTTTTTTACTTGTTTTTTTTTTTTTTTGCTATTATTATTAATTATAACACCCCTGAGATATTTTTCAATTTTACAAAAAAATTTAGATAAAGCGAAAAATAAATAACTAAAAAAACAACAATTATTTATATATATTAGGCTGATGGAAAAGTTCCGCCTTATAGTGAAAAAAAAAAAGCAGAAGCTTTTCATTATATTCTTTTCTAAATAAGAGACTCATTACCATCCAATGATTGTCGTATCACTAACTACTTACATTTAGAAAAACAAAGAAAATGTTGAAGCATATGATTGAGCTGAGGAAAGTGATTAAGTAATGCTTAGACCGATGCCTCTCAAAATACTATCTTTTGTTAATTTTTTTTGGTCGATATAATTGAAACATAAAGGAAATATGTAACGTCATATACTTTGTTCGCGTAAACATCGTAATACGGAATTTTCACTTAATCCATTTGGGTGTCCATGGGTAGAATAATTTTGCAACATATAACACACAACGTTTCTCATCTAAAATATGATAATCTAAAATAATGTACACTAACAACCGAATGAATTTCTAACTAACTAATTGATTTAGCGGTTTTCCAAGTTTCAACCAAACAATATAAGAAGAAAGAGTTTAAAATGAATGCTATACAATACTTTAAAAACGTACGTATGATTTCATACATAAGAGCCTAACTAAGTCTATTGTCCTTATTCACATCGATGATAAGTACATACGCTCTACAGGGTCACTACATACTTCTAAGCATCTTTGACATACTTTCTATGTCTTCTAAGGTGAGTACACTCTTAATGCTTAAGTCAAATGGTTATGATCCCAGTGTTTCATTTCGTAAGGGCAACTAAATATCCTAAGAAAGTGGGACAATTTGGATGAAAGAAAAGGTTTACGAAATATTGTACACTCATTGAGCAATTATAACTGAAGCAATAATATTAATTAAAACAGAGTTGCATGCGGCATTGCCTAGCCTATCATTATATATATATTTTGTTATTATTTATTATTAAAAATAATCGGGACAAGTGATCTAATACGAATTTTTTATGAATCTCATTGATAATCCAATTGAGTTTAGTTGGCCATCCAGTGATGGACATACTACTATTCGTTATATGGAAAATGAAAACAAAGTCTACATAGACCGCTACACGCCACTATATGCTTATATCCATCCAACGTACCAAATATGCTCGACATTGTAACACACATAGCATACAGACACAGAAACACACAAACGGACAGACATAGCTTAATCAATTACGAATTTCAAGCCGATCAGAAGAATATATATACTTGATAGGATATCTTGATAGCCTCGTTTTGAGTGTTGCAAACATCATGATAATTTCAGTATATCTTTTAGAAGGTATAAAAAACAATACAAGCAAGAATATTATAAAACACACCATTCGATAAGTGCGTGCAGTTAATATTTAAGCTGAATTACATTTCTGCCATCAATCGTGAAAAGCAAAATGATTGGCCAAGGCCGATCAATACATACCCTAGACATCGTCTCGGTCTATCACATTTTTCGTTGCAACGGCTATAAGAGAAGGTACGGAAAAAATTGCCTCATGCCACTTTAGAATATTGAAATACTTTTACACAGCGAATTGTGAAAATTGCAATATGTTTCCCTAAAACGATTTTTCAAATTTAAGCTTTATATGAGGAGTGGCCGAAAAACTAGTCCGATCCGGACCGCTTTCAAAAGTGCATGTTTTTGGGCCAAAGCACGCTAGTGTGCCATATTTTATTAAAATATCTCGAAATTTTATGACCTGTGGATTGAACACAATAGTCTACGCATGAACGTCAGTCAGACATACGGACAGACAAGCTTAGATCGGTTTGGAAAATTATTGAGTAAATTTGATTTTGAATCGATCGGTATAATAAAAGATGGGCTTCGATTCTTTTTCTTCGATTTGATACAATCGTCGGCACAAACCTAATATAGCCCGAAGCACATGTGCTGTAGGCTATGAGAACGTTAAAAACTTATTTATTTATCTAATCTCCGCCGTTTTTAATTTATTTATTTATGCTCACGTACGAAACGAACTGAACGAAATAATGTGAAAGGATCCACATAAACTACAAAAATTGAACATATTCGAGACTAGCGAAAAATATGTGCTCTTTAAAAAGTATTGAGTTAAACTTGTTAGTTAAGCATAAAAACTTTTATTTGTTTTTTTTTTTAACGCAAAATTTCTCTACGACATTACATACGTCAATGAGTGATAATCGAGATTCACTCTTTATGGTTCATAGCATACGACATCAAGCAATCGACTTCTTTAAGGACTTTTTCCAAATGATTTAATTTTGTTGTAAAAGTGTTGTGGTTCTTTACACAACATTACCAAACCATATTCTTTTTCTCTCTGCAACTCTTTGAAAACATTTTGAGGAACAACATCGATATAGTCAAGGCGCTGGAGTAATCTTTTCGGCTCTTGTTTTTGTCGCATTTCTCGTATTTATGAGATTTTCATCGATAACAATACTAGATGAACGTGGCCGGTTACTATCATTTTTGTGCAGATACTACACGATCACCCATAGAATATATATTCGCCAATCATCGCCGATGATTTGTCAGCAATGATGCTTTTTTTTTCTTTTCATCGCAGAGGTGTTCTCAATTTATGTGGTTTTATAGACCTGTCCTTCAACCGATTTGACCGATATTTTCAATACCAATTGGCGTAGAAAAACTTTTAATAATTCTGCACAAATTTGAAGCCGATACTTTCGTGTCTGCAGACGAGAGATTATTTATAGCAGATGATCCAATGGACCGATGGATTTCAACTGCTTGTAAAAACTCAGTTTAGCGTCATATGACATTAGATGCCATTTGCTTTTATTAGTGAATTTATTCAACACTAACATTACATTCGAAATGAAAGGCTTGGCACTATTTCGATTAATTACAAACAGATGCATACAACTAACTACATATGTTTAAAATAAAATTTTAATAACGCAAATTGCCTAAATACCTATAAAAGCAATTAAAGCGAAAGATTTTGTCATCACACTTTAGGTTATAAATGAATTATTTTACCGCATTTAACACCCAACAGCAGAATGAGCACATGGATGCACAAACACAATGTATGAATGAGTGAGGAAAGAAACGATGGAGTAAATGAATAAATGAACGTACACACACAATGCCATAACATATTATATAATATAATCATTTTTTTTTTTTTTTTTTTTTTTTTTTTTTTTTTTTTTTTTTTTTTTTGTAAATGAAACAAATATTTAATAAAATTAGCAACAACGAGAAAAAAAAGAAGAAGAAGAAGACGAAGCTTATAATAACATGTAACAAAAATTCATTAAATTCCTTCTCCTTTAGGATCAGCGGAAAACACTTTGGCTTAAAATGCTAGCGAGAAGAATGCATAACGCCATAGCTATACTACATTATGTTAACTGAGCGAAGAAGAAAAAAAAACAATTAATTAAACAAAGGCAAGATAAAGAAAGAGACGAAAAACGAAAGAATACAATTTTTGCAAGTTTTAGAAATATGATGATGATAATAAGTCCAACTACTACTACTACTATTGCATACAATTAACGGGGAAATAATTTTTGAAATAAACTGTTAAACTAAATAACAAGCCACGGCAAATATAAGAAGAGTGTAAAACGACGTACGGCAGAACGTAAAATTCTGATTTGCTATAACAACATTATTACATAAATATATCACATCGCGTACATAGAACAAAAAACCGGTGACGACGAAGGAACGCATATAAATTTTTTTTTTGTCAGAGAAACGTTGACGAAAACTGTGAAAGCACATCTTGATTATATAGAAGCAGCAACATCAGCTGAAAAGAAAATGCGAGGACGTCATTTACGTAGGCGCTTTAGCCTGCAACCATCATTCCTAAAAGATGACAATGCAGATGAGAAATCCAAACGTGACAAGTAAGTGGTTGTTTTTTTGTCGTTGTCGTTGTCGTTGTCGTTGTCGTTGTATGGTTTAATCTCTTCTGACAAGTTTTACCGCACACCCGAAAATTTCTATAAATTTTTGATTTAATGAGCGTACCGTGCATTAGGGAATTGCTAGTTGAAAATAATTGTTGGTTATCTTTAAAACGTTTAACAAACTCATAACAACAAAAACGTTGTAACGGAAATGCATTTACTATACACACAAGGCATATAAAGTTATAGTTGCAGTTAGATTAAGCTTTAAATGCTATTTATTCAAGGTCGAAAAACTAATCACTTCGCACTAAAAGATACATTTCAAAAAACTAAATCTATCGAAAATAATTGCGTGGAAGAAAGCAAATTTTTTTTGTGTTAGAAAAAGAACGCAAAAATAGATAATAATAGGTTGGAGGGAAAGTTTTGTCGTATTTTAAAGAAAATATTTCAATTCATTTATGAAAATGCTTAATGTTTAATATTAATCGATTATATATGCTCCGTTATTTGTTACAATCTGTTGCCTTCAGTCTTCAGGTAACCTGTGAATTCCTGTTTTTTATAGTAGTTCTCGTTCTTGGAGTTGAAGCCACTGTCTTAGAAACACTTGCAAAAGACTTGAATTTTGTTTCCCGTTAGATCATTTTGCAGATATCTGATCAGATGGTGCAATGTCAGGTGAATACGATGGGTGACTAAGGACTTCCCATCCTAATGCATTCAGTTTTTGTTGTGCCACCATTGCAGTATGCAGTCGAGCGTTATCATGGTGGAACACTATTCCTTATCTACACGCCAATGCAGGCCTTTCTTCTTCGATTCATTCGCATTCAATTTATTCAGCTGATTGCCGTACAGAACCGCGTTAATGGTTTTTCCCTGTTTCAGCAACTCGTAGTACACTGGACCATTCCTGCCCCACCACAAACAAAGCAGTACTTTCCGTTAATGGATATTTGGTTTTGGGACTGTTGCTGATGATATTCCTGGTTTGCAGTAAGATTTTTTTCTCTCAATGTTCTCGTAAAGAATCCGGTTTTCATCTCCAGTAAACGGCTTGGCCAAAAACGCCTTCACATTGTGTCTAATCAGATGTGAAGGAACACATTCTCACACGATCAGATAAATTCTTTACCGTTAATTCATGTGGAACCCAATCACTTTGCTTTAACACAAACCCAAGAGATTTAATGTGATCGCCAACAGTTGTATGATTGGATGGAAAAAATACCTGCCTATTTAAAATACGACAGAACGTTCCCTCCAACCTATTAATTTCTAACAATTTTATTAATTATTATGCATATGCGTGCCAGACCGAAAAATTATATTCTCTCAGGTTCTTGGCATTTTCAAACCAACTCGTTACACTGCAAATACATTTTCATTAGGTTTCTTTAAGAAACAAGCTATAATAGCGGAGAAGAACTAGCGTAGATTATTTTGATTTATTTCGATATTAATCGCCCAAATTATACTTAAGCATCGACTGTAAAGCGGATGCAGATTCTTGCTCAACATGAGTTTAGTCACATCTTGATTTGCAGCAATCCATTCGGATCTATTTCCAATGATCCGTACATTTCCCTTTGCTGTTCGGATTCCTAAAATCAAAAAAAAAAAAAAAAGAAAAAGAAACAGATAAGACCCTTGAGATAATTATTTCTGGTTACGTTTTATTGATGGTATTTGAAAATTTTCCCAATCATGCCATTGATATAACGGATTGTCTTTCATTGCATACAATTAATAGCCGACCTTAACGCCTTACAAAGCTTGCTTTATCTTTCAATTGAAAACTTGAACCTAAAATAACTGAGTAAAGCGCAGTAAGAAGAGAGTGTTGTCGGTTCCAAAACAAAATCGAAATCAATTTTTTCGCACTAGACGAGTCGATAGGAACTGATCAATAGATATCGATATAAATCGTTAGAGTTTATTACTGCATAGGTTTGTCTGATGTGACAAGCGGTATGGCAACGCAATTAGAAGACTTGTTACCACTACGTGGTGGCTACCAATTATTATTAATTACATTAATTTACATTTACACATTTATACAGCTTTCGAATACCATGGCCTACCAATCTCTTTAGAAAAATAATCAAATTGTACTATATATATATATATATATACAATTACGTACATATATACTATTGTATATACATACATAAATGCCTTTATGGAACACAATAGAACTTATAATTGAGTTTTACATGCATTTTATAGAAATTTTACCTGAAACCAAAAACTCTTTCCTGATGTTTGTTTTGCTGAGTACGAAGTACGAAGGCTAACAAAACTTTTTCATTTACATCAATTATTATTATGTTTTCCATGATGCCATATTTTCGATGCCAAATAGAGTTGGACGTAACAATGCCGTAGACGATGCCATTGGTCCCACAAATGCCAGACATAAAATTGTCGTTATGGGATCTGCTAAAGTTGGTAAAACATCAATTATAACGCAATTCCTTTACAATACATTCACCACCAAATATAAGCGAACAATTGAAGAAATGCATCAAGGGAACTTTTCAATTGCTGGGGTCAGCTTAACCCTGGATATATTGGATACGGCCGGTTCGTATGAGGTAAGCGCATTTTGATTCTACTTTTTTAATATACTATCGGATTCTCTCTTACTTATGATATTAAAAATTAATTCTTTCATGTCCCTATGTCCATCATTTTTATATTCATAATTTCAGCAATTGTTTAAAATTAATATAACGAAAAAAATATTGAAATGTTTTATCTGTTACCTGGCCATTCATAGCTTCCATTAAAAGCTTAAAAATGCAAATAATCACAATCCATCCATCTACCCAATGGATAAGGAATGAAGGCCATCTGTAAAAAGTTGAAATTTTCGCAAAATTTTTATCAATAACGTGCATATCATCGCCGTTACCGACGTCAAACTTTATTAAAATCCTTAAAAGGTTAAAACTGTTTTTATAGCCATCGACGAAGTATGAGTAGTACATTCATTTTATCAAAACGTTTGCAACATCAAGGAGTTAGCTTCAGAGACACCACAAAATATATATATATATATATATTCTTGGTTAGCATCAAAATTTGAATCGATTTAAATGTGTCCCTCTGTCCGCCTATGTAAGGCCAATTATAAACATTTCCCCGGCTGCAGAAATGAAACTTTCGACCACACATTTACCAGGAAATTCTGGTAGGCGGGTTGTTGTTGCAAATGGGCCAAATCGATCGATGGACACGCCTACAATACTACATAACATGAGAATAACTCCATTCTTCAAAAGGAATAAAAAATGGGTTTTTTGTTAATTACTTGAACTATAAGAACCGATAAGTGTACAAATATTTGGACGCATATTCCGTGGACGATGCTTTAGCAAAATTGACCACGCCCACCTATTATTAGAACAACATGCAGATATGAGCTGCAAAAACCCCATAAAAGATATAAATTCGTGGCCAGTTTCAAATTTCGAATGCACCTAATCATGTCCGTCTGTTCGTTTACCCAACTGGGTAATGTCTAGGTAAAATATAACTTCCCGTTAACGAAAATGAAGATGGCGTCTGCAAATTTGTAAAAGAATTTGAAATTGACTTGAACTTTTTTCAAAGACAAGCCTACAACGCCCACACGCTAATACAACCAACACTTTTATTTTGAAAATAAAAAAAATCAGCTGCGCCCAGTCCATATTATAGAGCATGAAAATTAATTTCTTTTAGTTTTTTCGTCGTTTTTAGAATGACAATGATGGGTACAAAAAAAAAAAACCGGGCACGGCCGATTTTCATTTTCATAGTTTAGAGTGAACGAAAGAATTTTAGTTAATCGGTACTCAGGGGTTTCCTATACCCGTCAGCGAAGGGTTCGGTGTGCATATACATTTCGTGCCGAAACATTTCGCAGGCTCTCGAACCCAATATTTTCCATCAATGTAAAAATCTGGATTTATCCATTCGTATGTCTGTCCATCTGTCCGTCTAAGCATCTCCACGGCTATTCTCCGGCACAGGAGTTATGCAAGAATGGAATATTTCGATTATTGATTATTGAGATTGAATGTATTTCGGTTGTTTATTAAATATTTTATATCTATCTGTTTTATATATATAGATGTATATATAGAACAATTACACAAATATATAGAGAATTGCCTTGATGAGTGACAATTTCGATTCCCTTAACGGTTTTCATTACCTATAGTATTCCCGCTTGTAATCACCCATTTAGGATATTCTTGTCCACGATTTTCTGACTATAACCTCTACGCAATTTTGTAGGCTATCAATCCAAAAAAGCAAATAGTAAAGCTCAAGTAAATGCTATACAAAATGTTAAGGCATAGAGACATTCATAACTAACAAAAGTCCAAGTAACTATAGATAATACACAGATACTTTTACGATATGATCTGAGATTCGTATCCACGAACACTGACTTGGCAGTCTTGAGTCTTATTCCCTGCGCAATGCGGTAGCCATTAAGTCGCATTAGTTGTTAGATTTTCATCGCCTTCTTATGCTTCTCATACCTGGAACGTGTTAATCTGTGCTCGTTTTCTAACTGTGCTCGTCATGAAACAATAATTGCGCACTTGTCGTTAACATAGCTAAAGTCAATTACTTTTATTCCATTCTATTTCTTCACTTTTTTGCATTATCCTTAATTGTCATTAATATTTTATTTATAATTTCCTTTATTTTCATTAATTTCCTTTCACAATAATAAATTTAAGTCTGTCCTTTTTTCCATATATTTGTAATATAAGTATACTTGTTTTAATAATAATTGAAATTTTCAAGAAATTATATTTAATTTAAGCGTAACGTAGGGAACGAGCATATAAATACATCCATTAAAATTTCTAAAAAACTTAAATTAAAATTTAATAAATTTATTATAAACGAAACACTTGGGTTTTTTAAAGCAAATCTCTGTACATTTGTCATATAATTAACTGAGAAGAAGATAATGAATGATTGCCCAATAATACGCTTATATTAAACAAAGGATTATCGAGCACCTTCTCTGTGCTACTCTCTGCACATATATCAGAACCAGATCAACCGAAAGGCGAGGAAGGATCTCTAGAAACTTCTGTTTATTATTCATTTTTGTGCCATACCATAAGAAGCTGAAGACATCTGCAGTTTGTGAAAACATTTGCAGCGCATGCAAGGAAACTTCAGAGAGAGCCTACAAAGCACATAAGTATTCTTAAGGACTTTTTTCCATATTTGTGGAGATACTACACCATCGTTCATGGAATGCTCAAATTTTTGTAGATTTGTTGGCCCTAGTTTATGAGTAATGAGTAAAAAGACAATTTTTCATTCCATTGGTTTTCTCAGTTTACGTTGTATTGTAAGAGGGCACTCTTCTATACGATGTGCAATAGCTTAAAATGTTTCTGCCCAATTTGCGATCGAATGTTTCGTTGTTGCGGCCAATTCATGAATGTTTACAATAGACATTACACTGGCACATTACATGATACCGATCCCAGAATATATGTATACTTTTTGTCGGCTCCGGAGCTTGCCTCTGGGCGTTACAAAGCGTTCTAACAAAGTGAATATACCCTATCACCTTGGATTAGGGGTACAAAAAATTCACGATTTAATGCACATCCCGCACAAATGATTGAGTGCTTGTATGTATTTTGATCAGTGACATTCCACGATTTTGTCCATTCTCTAAATAAAGAGTTAGTTTTTCATTTAGTATTATTGAGGTTATCAGTGCATAAAGAAGCTAATCATGGAACGCTCAAAATTGCATTGCCGACATTTATTACTTTTGTTGTTCGATTTGAAGATATCTGCTGCCGAAACCCATCACACACTGTTGATGGGTTACCGACTTTGTCGTAATAGGGAACTTCTTAAATCGATGTTGTCTTGTGCAGCTGCTTATTTCGAGATGATAGGAGATATATAGAAATGCGTACATGTCGCAAAAGGCTGTTGGGATATGATCCGCATTCTGTGTCATCTACTTGTTGAATTAATACCATAATGGAAAATGGTCGCATGACTTGATTTCGATCCGTCATTTTTTATTCACAAATCATTCGATTTACATACAAGTTCTCTCCTCTCCATAAACTTCAGAAGAAGAGTTGAGTTTACTTTGCGATATTTACAGTCGGCAAGTGTGCAACGGGAAAAAATTTTTTAACTACGATTAGCATTTCAATGATATTGAATGATTTTTAATATCACGCTAAAATCACAAAAGGACCGCATGAAAAGAGTCAATTGTACGCACACACTCAACCGCAATGTGTATTCCGTTGTTGAAATACAAACACTTTTACGTTGAATATTGAGCTGTGAATATTAATTTCCGGTTTCTTTGTTTTTTTTTTTTCAAGGCATATACTGAATGAATAAATCCGCCAGTAATCATTACGAAGAAACATTAACGGTTTTTTTTTTTTTTTGTATGCACTAACTTTAAGTGCGAGTGGTATGAAAACCGGACAAAAGCTTAGTAAGAATCTTAAATTTCCGTTTGAAAAATAGAATTGAGGAATAGGAAATTGTTCTCATGGCCGTTGATCGATTCGAATTATGATCGAATTTTTTTTAAGTCGTTTTATTCGTTCTTTAACCTTTTGCAACTGAACCATTTTTTAGTATAGGTATTCAGTTACCCAAGAGTAGTTTTAATAAAATATTGTAACACATCAAACATAAGAACTTAAAACAAAAGTAATATAGTGTTCAGCTCTAATACGATCTAAGTGTCCATCATCTGATATATACCGGACTAATCTCATATCAAGTGAAAAAATTTACAACGCGTGCACAATTTAACGGACAATATTATCAAAAATAGTAATGGCGTCTCTCGGCCGCGGTTCGAGTAGCAGTAATGAATAAGATGGCGCCTCTCGGGCGCTGTTCGGATGCGCAGGGTTAATTTTTAAAGTTAAGATAAAGCACTTTTTACTGAAACAAAGATTTTTCTCCTTTTTTCTCGATAACTCTCTCGATCTTTTCATCTAGAAGATTCGCTTCGTTGTGAATAAAAACTCTGACCCCATTAGCATTCTATCTTTGTTTATAAAAATTTAAGTTTCTCTGCGAAATTAACTTTTCCCAAACGTAAAGTAAACAATTAAGAGACGGAACAATGATAAGTAATACGTCGTTTACTATTTCAATCTTGGTAACGCTGTCATCACTTTACTTGCCCAAACGTTGTAGTGAAGAAGAAGAGTGTAGTCACTTTTATACCCTACAACACTTGTGATACAGGTTGCATTAAGTGTATACGGATATATGTATATCACTGAAAAACTCTGCCTAACCAACTCACAAACATTCCTTTCTGCATTCGTTTGGAAATTTAGCAAAACGGGGCAACTAAAGCTACTGTAATCTGTAAACGAATTGTCAGAATGCCATGAAATTGTGACACGTGTCATTTGAATGCTGCTACTGCTATCTAGATGAGGCCGACTGAAAAATGGTGGTTTCACGAAAAGCTCGGTTTTGAAAATATATCTGCACTTTAAAATTAGTTTAACCGCTTCGAACGAACTGGCCCCCTTTCTACGACTAGCTTCACGCGAACGATGCA